GTTAAATATAGAAATGCCAATTAAGGAATAATTCACATATTTCAATAACATCATTATTATGAAGCAGAAGTCGCAAGATTTCAATTAAGGGGGAAAAAGTTAATTTGAAGTAAAAGTGGATTGTTCAGGAGACCCTTATCATTTTTTGATACAAATGTTAAAACTAATTTGATTTGATTTTGCAGAAAGCGTTACATGACCAGAACACCAGGATATGATTTTATTTTCTTTGCACTGCCTTGAAATATTTTCCCGCCATACTTAAATAATTACTTAGAAAAATAACGGAACAAATATACATATTTCTATTCTTTCTTCTGAGAGACCACTCAGCTATTTTTTATAAAGGTGCTGTACATTATTTAAACATTTACATGAATCAGACCACGTTATACTGAGCCCATATGTATTTAGTCTAATATGAGGTGATTCTAGGCCTCTTTTAAATATGAACAATGAAGATGAGTTACGTATGTACAGCAGATGCTAACATTGCTTTCATGACATGTCTTCACATTTTGTTGAATTTAAACAGTTTTCAATGTCTGTCATTAGCACAAAAACACAATGTTGCACCACAACTTATCGTGAACAATAATCTTGTCTTTGTAATTAGTTTGCGTTCTCATCATTTACTGTATATCAAAGCTGTGTCACAGCTGTTAGTTACATATCCAAACCCTGAGGTCATAATCACATCACACACAGCATATGGAACGGCCACCAGTCCGTTGGTATTGATAGATCATATCACTTCCTATGAAATCACACCTTACACGTTTATCTTGGCCACATTTCAGACCTCAAAACCCCAATAAATCAGCCCTTTCAGAAACCTCCCACAACTGATCAGGTGTTGCAAGCAAGCATGGAAAAAATTAGCTGATGATCTTAAAATAGATAGTTTGATAAAAGACATTATACCCGCAACAAGGGATCATTTTTCCCTATTTATAATCTGTATTTAAAGACTGAATCTTTAAACATTAGGGTGAATATCACAGAAAACTGTCTAGATCATATTTCACCTCCAAAATCAAAATCTGCATAAAGACAATGAAGCCTAATGAAGTCTATTTGTAGGATTTTTATGATTTGTTTCATTGTGACAGTATGCATGAATTATCTCTCCCCTAAAAATTCTCTGTAATTGATTCAGAATGTTTGCTTTTCACTGCAGTCATATTTATTAGATACTCGTTACTTTAGTGCAACATAAATATGAAATTATTTTAATATTAAATGTATTAAGTTTAAGTTAAACCTAATGCAAAAAATACAGTAATTTGAAGAGTAAACGTGCTTAATTGTCATAAAAATAATGTCATATTAAAAAAATAAATAATAATAATAATAAAGCAGGCTTTATTTTCTTAAAGGAATAGTTCACCCAAAATCACTTGCTCACTAATGGATCCTCTGCAGTGAATGGGTGCCATCAGAATGAGAATCCAAACAGGTGATAAAAACATCATAATAACCCACATGTAATCCACACCACTCCAGTCCATCAATTTACATTATGAAGCAAAAAGATGTGCGTTTATAAGAAACAAATTCATCAAGACGTTTTTTTTACGTACTCAATCCATGATATTGCTTTCTCCAGTAAAAAAAAGTTCTTGTGTGAATCAGGAGGGAAAGATGCAAAGATTAAACACAGTTTACAAGCCAAAACTGTCCAAAACAAATATGTCAGTATTTTGGCCAGAAGCGATGGATTTGTTTATTACAGACACACAGTTTTTCACTTCACAAGACAATAATTGATGTACTTAAGTCATGTGGATTATTGTGAGGTTTTTATCAACAGTCTGGACTCTCATTCTGACGGCACCCATTAATTATTTGTTGGCCGTTTTTCGGGTGAACTATTCCTTTAATGCAAAATATTTTCTTTTAAATTTGAGATCAAATATGACCCCTTGACAACCTTCATGATGTTCATCCTTGTGCATTGGCTTCTGATAGTCATAAATCGCAGCTTGACTGATGTAGAGTACAGTATAGCCTCATAACTGAGAGGTTGAATTGCTTGCACTGTTTGCCTTTGTCTTGAGTAGACTGGACATGCATGTCCAGGAAAAATAAAATAAATATTTACCATATTAAATCTGATTTCATAGAATATTTAAAAATACATTTGCATGTACCATTTGTTTTGTGACAAGTCAAAACAGTTGCTACAAGGTAAAACTACCACGGTGCTTAGCAAGAGCCTGGACCTCTACACCGAAATCAATGTCACAATCTGTTATAGCTACATGTATCTATTCATATACATATTTCAATAAATAAACATTTGATCATGTTCTTGGTATATTAAAGCACAAGTTTCTGGTCATTTGCAATTATAATATTTGGAGATCAGGGAATCAAAGACATGGAAGAGAGAGAGAACAGTCTGAAAAGTCCCTGGTGACAGTTCTTATTTACACCATTTGAAAACATTAGAGATAAACTGCATGGGTCTAAAAGGCATGCAACAAAACAAGGAGTTTGTGTGTTCTACTTTGCATGCAGGGGGAAAAAATGATTCTCTGTGGTGAGGACGTGCTGTTTATAACCAAAACATAAACTTGCATTGTCGTTTTAGTTATTGATGGGGCGTCTTCCCTTAAATTGCATAAGGAAGGATTGCATTGTGAGGTCGAGAGAGTCCTCATGTTGTTTAATGTCAGCTGGCATAAAGCAAATTAAAAGAGGCTGTCCGGACAAAACGGAGCTCCATGCGTTTGACCACAAAGCCTCAGAAATTGCCTGTCCAAGACGATTAAGCTCCAAATGATTGCCATAAAGCAGTTTAGATTAAACCTCATGTCGAATCAGTCTGTTTATGAGACTGCTTATTACAAACATTTTTTAATAATTTGAATGAGAAGCTCATGCTGACCACTGTCCAAAGAGAAGGACATTAATATGGTTCACATGATATGCTCTGAATCTAAGCAGGCATAAGCCTGGTCAGCAACTGGTTGGGAGACCACCTGGAGAAAAACAAGGTGTAAGGCCAAAAACATACTCTTGGAAAGTATGTGTACAAGCATGTGAATGATTGGCCTATGCACTGAATGTACATGGTGCTGTTATACATATAAAGCTTGCATTATTATGGCGGTTTCAAACCTCACTATTCAGTCAGGTGATAAAGGTAAGACCTTGAGGTGTCTGTGCCTTTCAGCTGTTGACTTGTTTATAGCTACCGATATGAATAATAAACAACCTGGTTTAAAGTTGGCATGAAATGAAAATTCACCCGATCTACTTACTTAATGCATGTAATAACCATCAGACATTTTGAATAAATCTGGCAACCAAACAGTTTCAGGTCCCACTGACTTCCATTGTATTTGTTGTCCATACTATGGAAGTCAATGGGAGCGCAAACCATTTGGTTACCAATAATAGTAATAATAGAAAGGTTTGGAATGACATGAGGCTTATTTGCAAGCTTGTCTGCTTTGGATTCATAAGTAAACAACTTTACTATTTTTGACTTTATGCAGTAGAACTTATATGATGTATCAACTTTGAGTTGATTCAACCATTTTTTCCATAAATCCGTTCTTATTAAAAAACTCAACTTCTGATTTTTTTTTTTTACAGTATAAGGAACACGTTAATGAGAAGTTAGGCTAGCGTAAAATTCTATGCAAGTGCAATTGCTTGAAACACTGCCCTGCTGTACATAGACGTACAAAGAAATCTCAATCATCCCCTTAAGTACTTTGAGTAACCCCTTGAAGATGTTTAGTCTTGTACTCAAGAAGGTGTACTCAAGAAGGTTTTCTTCAGATGTCTGTGCCAATAAACCAGATGTGTTATTATTTAGGTAGCTAGCTATAAACATGTCGACAGTTTAACTAACTTGCTCAGCAAGATTCTCTTCCACCAGCAGATCATTTGTGCTAATTCCCATGATAGTGCTGAAATGCTGAGAATACAATGTGTAGCCTACTTGCAATCCATGATGAACAGTGTGAAATCTTAGCTAGAAGTGGTACATTCACATACTTGCATATGTTTCTGGTTTTAAACCTTCTATTCCCAAGGATCGCCAAACTATTCACAAACATCTCGCATCGCTTCCTCATGCGTGAGGATACGTGCAAAACTAGGGATCTTCCAGAGGCCGTCGCTCAAGGGTGCAGGATGGTCAAAGACTAGACTTGCCCTGGTGGTGACTGGAGCCGCATCTGTGGTGACAATGTCATCTTTCCTGTCTTCACTCTCATTTCCTTTCCTTTTGCTTCCATTCTTATCTGTAATCATTTCCTTCCTGTTTTCTCCCTTTTGATCCCCCTTATCCTTTGTTTGTTTGCTCTTCTTGTCTCCCTCTCTGCTCGATATGTGGGTGTTTTCATTTTGCATGTCTCTATCTCTCTGTTTTTTCTTCTTTTGGGTGCTTTTGAGCTCAGTTTCTCCATTTGGCTCAGCTGCTTCATTCTCTCCTTTGCTTCTCACTTTTCTCTCAGCTCTCCACCTCTCCTCCCCTTCTTGGGTCTCATTTCGCATCCTTCCTCTAGATTCCTGTTTTTTCCTCCTTTCAGCGTCACTTTTCCTCTGGTCCACGCTTGGTGTTCCCTTCACGCGGCGTTCCTCTTTCCGTCCCTGCGCTTCTCCAATTACCACTTCCTGTCCTTCACACTTTGACTTCTGGGGACTGACTGAGCGATGTTGGAAGGACTTTCTGTTCTTGTGGGAGTCTCGAGTGCTTTGTTGCAGATTTTCTTTGTTGCTGTGAGCTTTGTCTTTGGCTTTGGATGGTCTTTTGGATTTCTCTGTATCTCCGAGATCAAGGAGATTCTCTGCGGACCAACTCTTGATGCGCCGTTGCTGCGGGACTCTGGAAGAGCTGGTGTTTGGTGGTTTGGCACGCTTCTCCCTCTTGCTGTCTTTAGAGCGAGGATCCTCACAGGCCAGATCCAAGGAGCGGCGAGAACAGGCAAAGGAGCTTGTCAGGTTTGACGTTTCCTTCTTCGCTGAGGTGGATGACAGATGAAGGAGAGGAGAACTGAGAGGAATGTTGGATCTCGGCAGATCAGGAAGGATAACATCTCCAGCAGAACCTAAGGGCGAAGAGATCTGCATTGGATACACTGCCTAGAATTAAAATTCTATTACTAATTGAGGCCTTTTACCAAAAATGTACCATGGTAACCAGTTATTTTTGGGTGGTGTTTGCCTGCTCTAAAATCCACAATACTAGAGTGTTGTGGCTGGTTGCACATGCATTGCTATGCTGTTGACAGGTTGCTAAGGCATTGCTAGATTGTTCTCGGTGGTTGCTAGGGCACTAATTATTTTGGGTGGTTGCTACATGATTGCTACAGTGTTCTGGGGGTTGCTAGGGCACTGATAGAGTAGTTTGGGTGGTTGCTAAAGCACTGATAGTGTGTAATAGGTGGTTGTTAGTGATTTGTAAAGTGTTCTTGGTGATTGCTAGAGTGTTATAGTGGTTGCTAGAGCATTGCTAGAGTGTTTCCCAAAAGTACTGTTAGCCTACTATGGTTTTCCGAAACCACAGTTCCAACGAACATAACAAACAGCATCGTAAACTTGTGTGGTTGGAACAACAGCTCTTGACCTGTGGTTAGAAGCATAGTTTCTTGTTTGTATGGCATGTGGACTTTATAAATCCTTGTCTTGAGCAAAATAAGTAAGCTGACATTCAGTACAGTCTATATATTTCATTTCTAATACATACAAATTAATTTATGTCTTTTAGTTTGTCAAGAGTTTTAAAGCGCCTTTTTTGAAGAGTGCATGTGCATATGTGCTCTAGTACGTAAGAAAGAGCCAATGATTGAATTTGGAAATAAAGCTAAATAATTCAGAAAAAGAGAATTCACCCTCAGATGCCATGTCCATAATTTACAGCCAAAAATCTGGCATTAATTCAATCTCAAATGGATTAATTAAAAGAAGTTATTACTCTACCACCCGCATGACATCATTCGTTTCAGGAAACGGTTGTGACCAAGTAGTTGATTTCTTCATACTATGCAAGTTAAGCAGTGAGTATAGGAAACACACCCCAGGATGGTTGTAATAATTTTAAATAAATTGGAAAATTTAAAATCTAAATATATATTACAATATGTAAAACAATATGTAGTATGTAAAAATAACGTATATAATTATATGCCATATTTTTATTTGGTTTTGAGTGAAACCATTTTCCATGGTGTTGTGACTGCAAAGAGCATGAACATATTCCACAGATCTAAAAACTTACACAATAAAGCAGAGAAAAGACTAGTAATTAAGGAGCAAAGAAAGTGTAGTGAAAGTCCCATTACCAAAGAATAAAAGACCTAGAGGAAAAGAGGCTGTTAGTGATGATACTCCTGGGGGCAATAACACACCGCAGAGGAGCTTACACAACCTGCACAGAAGAAAGAAAGAAAGAAAGAAAGAAAGAAAGAAAGAAAGAAAGAAAGCTGAAGTTAGCAAGCAACCCATATTGTCTTGATGTTCTTGCAGTATGCTTACGTATAGCAGCATCATCATGTGTTTGTGTGTCATAACTCACTGTTCTCTGATAAGAGGGCTTGCGGTCGCAGTAACAGTAGCACTTTGTTTCCTCCAGCTTGGATCAGCTCAATGGCTCTAGTGTGACTGATGCCTTGAGTCTGTTCTCCATTGATCTCCACTACCTGATCTCCTACCTGCACATTCAGGCATAAGGTCATTTATGTGTTTTATCATTCTTGAAACATCTTATTGATCTCTTGTTCGGGCCATAAGAGGTGATGATTTTATTTAAAGTCCAAAATATCAGTCTTGCTTTTCATATATCAGCATCCGCCACTGAAAAACCCCTATCAATTCACAAGCAGGAAGATGATGACTGATGTGGCCTTGAAAGTCAATAAACGTTTACATATAATTCTTCTGGCCGGCACTTTTATCCAAAGCATATTGCACTGCATTCAAGCTATAAATTTTTTCATGCATTTCCTGGGATCAAACCCATGAAAAGCGTTCTGTCACTTGACTGCACAGACACTATTGGAAGAGAACTGAACTGAGCTGGACGATGACATCACTGAATCAATAACAACCTGACTTTAACTGATAAACTGACTGTTTTCTATTGTGATCTTGCTTTCTCAGCACACGTTTTTCCTGTTTAACACTGTAAAGCTGCTTTGACACAATCTGTATTGTATAAAGCGCTATATAAATAAAGGTGACTTGACTTCTTTTGCTGTTGGACTTTACAGAACTGAAAACAGCATCTCAAGACATCCTAGTTTGAAATATTTTCAGTATAAAAAGGTATTCAGCTTTCCTTAAACCTTTTTATTACATTTAAATGCACTCTGCAGATGGAAAAAAGTCAGCAGATTCCATCCGCAACGCTTGAGTTATTAAAGAGTGGTGTGCTGTACTGACATGTATCCTGCCGTCCTGTAGTGCGGGGCCGTCCTCAGCCAGCCGCAGGATGTAGAGGCCCATGTTATACTCCGTTCCTCCTCTCAGACTGAAGCCAAAACCACGAGGTCCGCGCTCCAACTCTACTGCAATACAGCCCTAGGTAGAAAATACGTATATCCACTACCGTTAAAAAGTTTTAGGTCATTTTTTAAAAGAAGTCTCCTATGCTTAACTGAGCTGCATTTATTTGGTCCAAAATACAATTACAAATTGTGAATTATTATTACAATTTAAAATAACTGTTTTATATTTTGGTAACACTTTATTTCGATAGTCCACTTTAGACATTCTATTAACAGCAAGTAACTTTGCAACTACATGTCAACTAGCAGTTAGTAGAGTATTAGTAGACTGTCTGCTTAATATCTTCTAACACTTTCTTTGTCAACATTCTACTAACCCTAAACCTACCCTAACAGTCTACTCTGAGAGTTAGTAGACATGTAGTTGCAAATTAATGAGAATTAGTTGACATGTAGTTGACATGTAGTTACAAAGTTACTTATAGTTAGTAGAATGTCTAAAGTGGACTATCGAAATAAAGTGTAACCTATATTTTAATATACATTTAAACCCTGGACTAATGCCGAGTTCACACTGCACGATTTTAGCCCGATTTTTCAGACAAATGCCCGAAATTGGAGGCAAATCGGTGCTCGTTCACGTGAGTGACAATCACGCAGTGTGAATTATCAAAGACGCAATCTGAGGGAATCGACGCCCGTGAAATATTTGGCATGCTAAATATCTGGAGCTGTCGGCTGAAGTTCTGAAGGATGAGTTCTGACTGAAAAACACATCGGCGATGACCTACAGCCAATGAGAGACCAAGATACAGGGCAGCGGGAAGTTCGGGGAGGAGTTATATGAAACGTAGTTTGCAGACCAGTGTTGCCAAATCCGCGATTGCCGCCGGTTGTTTTTTATGTCAGCAGGTTGAAGCGACCCCAATAACGTGATATTTAGGCCCTGGAATGTGAATTGTACCAGGAGAACCCCCGATTTTACCCCCCGAACGCGATTTTTACTAGGGGACCCCCTCGAAAGCAATTGGGCTATTTTCAGGCTAGTTTTGAGTAGTAATTGGGCAGGTTTTGTAGCGAAAACCTGGCAACCCTGCACCAGACAGAGCTGTCGGCGATTCTTCCTATTGTAAAGTCGTGCAGTGGGAACACAGCAACAACTGAATGCTACCCCAAATAGTCGTTCAGTGTGAAACCAACAGTGATGCGACGTCTTTGAAAATCGTGCAGTGTGAACTCGACATTAATGACAGTGAATGTGATTTTGATTTTTCCATTGTAGTTTTTAGTCTTGGCTTAAATACTTAGTATAATGTCATTATTTTCCATGCAGCGTTTAAACATTTTTGAATTGCATTTTTTCATTAACTTACCCTGATGTGCTATCTTTAGATAAAGTTTATGTACAGTTTGTGATGTAAGTGTGACTCTTGCCTGTTTGGAGTTGGCGACACACAGCGTTCCCTGTTCACTCATGGGAAGAGCTTTATACTCCATCCGTGCGAGCTCATCCCTGATCTCATCCATATCCAAATTATATCTGTGCACAAGTCACACATATTACAAACCAGAACTGTGGCTTAAATCCTCCATAAGTGATTAGAGCTTATTATTAGCTATATGGCTGTAGAATTTCAATGAATTTACAACAAATATACAGAGGAAATGAGTAAATTTAAAGTAGCTTAAAGGGGTCATATGATGCTGCTAAAAAGAACATTATTTTGTGTATTTGGTGTAATGAAATGTGTTTATGCGGTTTAAAGTAAAAAAAACACATTTTCCACATACTGTACATTATTGTTTCTCCTCTATGCCCCGCCTTTCTGAAACGCGTCGATTTTTACAAAGCTCATCGGTCTGAAAAAGCGAGGTGTGCTGTGATTGGCCAGCTATCCAATGTGTTGTGATTGGCCGAATACCTCAAGCGTGAGATGGAAATGTTACGCCCCTCACATACTGTTGATGCCGTGTCCCGGCCGGAGCGAAGAGACAAAAACATTAAAATCCATTACAAACGAGGCATTTGTTGCGTTCAGTGGGGACATAATTACTGATTATAATGACTTATACTGTCTTGCATCGCGCCGCGTAAACATAAAACTCTGTCTGCATTTGTGATCAGAGAAATGACAAACAACAA